GAGCCAAAGGGACTCCTCGGTCCCACTGGGACGGCAGCAGCACGGGCGAGGGGGCGTCTGCCCGCTGCCCCTGCCGCCTCGCTGCTCCGGGGAGAGGAGAGAGGGGTCAGCACCCGCCGCAGACCTGGGGCTGGAAGAGATGCAGGCAACGATCAGGGATGCTCCGGTGTAAAATGACTGAATCCGCAACTTTCCGCTCTGCGGCGTAGATGCCGCGGCAAGTTACGTCAGGGGACTGCGTCTCTCCTCTGCTGGAGAGCCGTCCTCCCCGTGGGCTTCCAGGAACGGCGGGTAAGCGAGAACGCCAGCAGCAGCCTATTTTTAAATTCTGCTGTGCATGCGAGAGCTCTGCTTTGGCAGCCCCACTTTTCGGCTCTCTCTGTGCTATTTGCAGGTCATTAAAGACTTTGCTCCCTGTGATTGCAGGACGAGTTCTGCTCTTGAGTTCTGCAAGATAGCTGTACACAGAAAATAAATCTTATGTTTGCAATGCCTCCTGCTAATGCTAATATGACAATTACACTGCCTGGAGCCTCAGGCTCCCCTATCACACATCTCATCAATCTGCATTGCTGCAGTCTAACGATAAGCTGAAAACAGCGATGAAGAATGCAGATCAGGACTGAAGGAGGCAGCTGAGAGAAGCACCACCTTGGGCCCCACGTCCTGATCCTGGGGCTCCCGGCCGCTGACCTGAACCGGGACTTCAAGAGGGGCTGGAGGCAGGCAGCCCGGCCCGCCCCACCCCAGGAGCCACCTAAAAATATGGAAACGTTGATCAAATCATTTTTGGCCGCATTCACAATTATTTGAATGTTTTTCAGGAACACAAAAAAGCCGAGTCTCCAGCACTAAGGTTTAATACCAGATACTAGCTCAGCCAAGAGAGATTTTAGGACAAATTATTTGAAATGTCTTTGACTATCAAAGCTATGCTGGAGACAAAAACTACTCCACACTAATTTTCTTGTCTGTCTTTCAAACTTTCCTTCTTCACGAAGCCTGCAGGTAGGTTTAAACACATCTGGGGAATCGCAGTCCCCCAGACGATCGCTGCAGCTCGGTCAGTTTGCGTCAGAAGCTTCTCCCATTCCCCCGTGTTACCTCTGTGCTGTGTAACCCACTTATTCCCTGCCAGAGACCTCGCCTTCCCCACAGCACGGCTCTTCCAGCAACAGGGTCTGCCTGCGGAATTTGCTGTCCTTTGACAATTGTCAATCTTGTTTTAGAATCGCGGAACCATCTAAGTCGGAAGGGACCTTTAAGATCGGGTCCAACTGTTACCCCAGCACTGCCAAACCCACCACTAACCCACCCTCAGCACCGCGTCTGCCCGTCTGTTAAATCCCCCCAGGGGTGGCGACTCCACCCCTGCCCTGGGCAGCCTGTGCCACTGCTTCACAACCCTTTTGGTGAAGAAATTTCTCCTAATCTCCATCCTAA